ACTCAGAACGCCCCTCAAGAAACAAAGTTGGGAAGAGTTTATGACTTTTTATTCCTAACACAAAAACATTTGACAACATTTTTCAATACAAAATACAAAACCAAACCAAAAGGGGGAAAAAAAAAACTGTTTGGCTATTCAGTGGATCACATCAAAGGCCATGGCCAGGCCCCTCCCCCAATCCCTGGCCCCAGAATCCTCACACCTAACCTCTTTGCTCACCCCGAGGGTACAGTGCGGGCCACCTACCAGAGGTTCACTTAACAAGGTCAGCAGCTGGGCTGCTAGTATTGCGGTTACAGTAAACCCCTCCTGGGCACCTGGACACAGGGTCCACTCCTGTCTCCTCTGCCCACAGGGTAATTAGTGTGCTTCTCAGTCCATGCAAGTCTACTAACTGGTTGCTTCTGGAGTCTTCTGACTGGTGTTACACCAGATCCTAAGCACACAGACGGTTCACTCAGGCCATGACATTTAATTCCCCAAACTGGTGCTGGTCAGCAAGGTGGCCAAAGGATTTATTTGCCTTCCATCTGGGTAGCTGGTGGATACAGTCTTTGGCCACTAGAGGGCGACCAGACGTTGATAAGGCAAAGTGCTGAGGCGGACGCTGACCAATCCCTTCACAAGACACCCAGGGGCAAGGCTGGCCAAGTGGGAAAGGAGGCTCTGTTGGGGTTCCTTGCAGGATCCTTTGACAAAACATACAGCACAGAGGGGGTTTAGCTATAAAAACATGTCTTTGAGGCATTGCTCTGACCAGGGATGGACCACCTACAAAAACGTATTCCCCAAGCCCCCGGCTCGTGGAGCTGGGTTTCTATGCTGCTTCCAAAATCTGCAAGGCATCATCTGGAAGAACCGGAATATCTGAAAATCTGTCCCCTGAGACCTCAAAGCCTCGGCCAGCACAGCTGGATTATTAAAGAAACGAAAAGCAAAAGCTGCCCTAAACATATGCAGCGTGATCAGTGCCTCCTGTTGCCCCATAGGTTTTACAATCATTTGAAGGAAATGTGTGAAAAGTGCCTAAGTGAAGCTGTTGTGGAAAAAAAAAACAAGTGTATTGCTAGTATCGTCTGAGAGCGAGAGAGAAACAGCCAAGCGGTCACAACATTCGGATTAAAAGCTGTTCGGTGGGGACGATGACAAGGCTAACGTGAGATGTGCAACCGCCACCTAGCCAAGCTGCGGTCGAACTTCTCACCATCCCCATGAGAAACTATGGCTTAGATCTGGCCTGGGGAGCTGGCCTCCTCATACAAGGGAACTCGGCCAGGACCATGTGGGTTTGAATCTGCTGCTGGTTGGTGACCTTGCGGGGAGAACTCTCGCCCGGGACTGAAGCTGGAAGCAGCCTGAGGATGAGATCGGTTTCACAGGGAAGTGACAGACTCCTGATGCTCCCGCGTGTGAACCCCAGGAGTTCGAAAGGGACCCTGGTGCTCGTTCCGTCCAATGCTCTCCTTCCTTAGTGGAGAGAACCCAGGAGGCCCCAGATCACACAGCAAGTGAGAAGTGTCAGGTTTCTCACTGAGATGGCTTATAGTTAGGAGACTTGCTCTGTAAACCCATTTCCATCAGCTGGGCTCTTTTAGCTTTTTATACGTACATAAAAATATGTACTGAGATCTAAACTCATGGTTCCCTTTCTCGAGGGCCTCCACCCAAAGGGCCAGCAATGGGCTAGCCCTAGGATCAACTCTGCCACTATTTAGGAAGGGATCCCGCTCCCCTCTCCGACCGGCCCCCCTCCCAACCCCAGCCCCAGCCCTAGGAGAGTACCTCACACAGCCGAAGGAAACCCGTATCTACCAGTGTAGAAACACGGAGCCAGGCTGAAATGTTGTGATTTCTCAAAGTGCTTTTATTGGTTCAATGCAAAGTCAGCCTCTGCCTACTTCCTGGCATCCTTCGGCCGGCTCCCGGGGGTCCTCCCCCCACCCAGCATCTGTTTTGGGCCCAGGGCATTTCTGTGGGTTTCCCAGCCCCCGAGCTCCCCCTCCATTTACCCTGTACCTCCGGACTCTGCACACCTCCCCGGAGCCCACCTCTGTGGGCAAATCCCCCCAGGGACTCGGGGCCCAGCTTCAACATATTGCACAGAAGCACTAGCTGCTTGCTTTCTGCCCCAGTGGGAAGGGGTGAGGGGGTCCCTCTTCTTTGGCCAACAAAACCATGAGGTTCATTTTATTAGCTTCTGTACAGCATCCCATTCCTTTCCTTAGTCCTATCTGAGGGTAACCACTGCATCCCAGATGCTAAGAAAAATACTACAGGTTTCTGACTCTGTGAGTCAGAGCAACCCACCGTCCGGGGTCTGTGCTCTCTCAGGCTGAGATTTCAACAGAACCCAAGGCCTGGGGTGAGGTTCTCCCCATGCCTGCACAAGGACCACATTATCAAGGCCTTCCGTGCCACCTCCTCTCACCACCTGCACGCTGGCCTCAGCGGGCAGGCCGCATATGCCTGGAAGAAAGAGCTCTCAAAACTTCCATCAGCACAGGTTCTACGCAATGAAAAGACTTCTAAGTGCATCTCTTCCTACACCAGGATGTGGGTACCGAGTGTTTGCAGCTCAGAGCTCTCCTCCCTTCCTCCTCCTGCCCCCAAAGCCCCCCCCACCCCCCCGAGCACGGTCAGCACGCCACACTGCAAGGCCCCACAGCAGACGTGGACACCTGACTCGTGGCTCTTTGACTCAAAAGCTGTTTCCTGGATTGGGAGCAAGGTGTGATGGGCTAAGGGGGGCGTGAGGGGTGGGAGGTGGGGCTTCTCTGCACTCCATCCACTCATATTCTTTACCTCTTTGATGCATTTTCCTTCGGTAACCAGAACCCCCAAGAGTGAGGATTCTGATTCAGCCTGGTACCGACTGAGGAAGGAGATGAAGAATTCCACTTAGCGGTTGGATCGGACATTTCTGGAAACACCAGCACAGCACAGAGATGGACAGTACAGCCTGGGCGGCTGTCAACACAGTCTACAGTAAGCTTTTATGGCAATCACATGTAAACATCATCCAGAGCAAATACTAGGACACAGCTACAGTGAGGTGGTTGCCAATGGCAGCTGCTCCCTCTGGGTTCCTCCTTACTATGGTGGGCAAGAAACCAAGGTATACTGGTTCTCCTGGAGAGACCCTGGAGTCTCCTTGGTTGTAATACACAGCACCGAATTGAGTCTTCCAGATAGAGGTTGTCTGTAGTCTCGGTCAGTTTTTGAACTTGTAGCCTTGCAGGGATGGGACGGCGAGCAGAAAGTGCCTCATGCTCTTGGCCGGCCGGCATCCTCTCCCCCTGCAGCCAGCCCTGACCTGAGGCATGGTGCCACCCGGTGCCAAGCTCGGATCTCTGCTCTGCTCTAGGGGGCGGGGCTAAGTAACTTCGAGTGCCCTGTATTCATCTGAAGTGGATGGGGAGCCTCAGCTGACCCAGAAGACGGGAGGAGAGACTGGTCTTCCACTAAAAATCTGCCTTTCTTTACCCTCCCATACCACCTGCCCAGGGGAGAATTTCTGACTTAGGGCAAACCGAGGAACAAGCAAGTAGGAGGGGCTTAGAGAACCTCTAGCCCAACTCCTTCTGCAGCAGAGGGGAGTGGGGGGGGATTCTGTGACTTAGGCGAGACTCAAGGTCACAAAGTTCTTGGTGGAGCCAAGACTCAACGCAGCTCTCCAGACTCTGAATCTGGAGTTCCTTCCCACTGGCTTCCACAGGACGAACCCTCAGTGTACTCCTCGGTGCAAATTAGGACTTAGGAGAGGCAGCAGGCAGATTTAAATTCTACTCTAGTGCATTCCATACCCATTTATTGTATGCCTACTGTGTGCTAGGCAGTGAATAGCTATAAAAGGAATTTACAATGTTCAGGTCTGTGCTGTGGAAGTCCCTTTGTTTGGTTCATCCTCATAAACCCCACCTCCCTCAAACATATCATATCTGCTATTCCGCTTGCTCCCCCGTGCCCCACACTCAAGTAGGGGTTATGTGTCACAGTATTATTGGGAGTCCCTGCCAGTGAATGGCTTTAGGGAAATTTTCTCTCATAGATCAGGACATGATAGAAAGGGATGGGCAGCATGAATCCCAGCCACCATTTGGTTCTGTATGATGGAAACCTTTCGAAAGATCAGACCAGAATGTCAAACGATAAACTCTGATCCATTAATAATGGCTGTCCAGAGCACTGTGCTCAGAGTTCTAAATGAACTCTCAAGCTCAAAGAACATGAGTTCTGTGGTTGATTAGTTATGCCTGCCACTGGCCAAGGATGTGGAAGTAGTGGTACATGTGTCACGTATTTGCCATCTTGAGCTAGATACCATCTTTGCAGAAGCTAAGAGCTGGCAGGGACCTCAGGGATCAACTTGCCCACTTCTCCCCCTCAGTCCATTTCACAGAAAAGGAAGTTGGGGCCCAGGAGGGATATATGGGAGCTCAAATTCCCTATTCCTTCTAAAGCCCGTTTCCTCCAGCCCTCTCCATGGGCTTGGAGTATGCTCATCTCCCAGGACAAGCTCACTGGCCCAGCATTACTACTCAGGTATTTGATCACTTTAAAAATAACAGTAATAATCAACTACCAATTCTCAGTTCTAAGCCTGGCAGGAGCAACACACTGAATTAGCTTGTTGAGTTTAATGAGTTAATTTCAAACATGTTTAAAGCAAGCAGAACTTTTCTTTCTTTTTAATGCAAAAATTTCCCAAGGAACCCTGACATCTGAACAAGATGAAGTTGGAGCTGCTCTTTCTGAAGCAGTGGTCACAAGCTCATACCCTGCCTGGCCACACTTGCCCTCACAAATGGCCCCCAAGGCACCCGCAGAGCATCCCAGCTAGACATGGTCTGACATCACTCAAGAACATAAAATTTAAAGTAAAGCCCAGTTAGAATGTTGTCTAAGCTGGAAAGGACCTTGGCGATTCTTTTATCCACCCCCAGTCCTCACATGCCCCCACCTCGCTCCCTCTGCCCCATGCTACCCAAACCCCCCTACAGGTGAAGGAATGGGAAAGATGAGCTGGTAGAAGGACGATGGGTTCGTGGCTGGCCCCAGAAGGATGACTGTTCCCTGATCACCTGCCTGTGCCACTCCAGGTGTGTCACTAAAGCTCTGGTGGCATGTCCACAGGTGTAGGCAAACCACAGAACCCTCTAGGTCAAGACGCACGCTGAGCCTAAACCTGCCTAATGCTGGGGAGCCAGCTGCTGACTTAACCCTCCAAGTAAGCCCAGAGGCCTCTAGCCTGTGGCCCAGCATAGCTGGCCTCACCTCTACCAGCCCCTGAAACTGTGCCTTTTTACCCAAAGCTACTGCAGCAGCATGGGATCAGTAATCAGGAGGCCTAGGCTGGGTCACTGCTCTGCCTCGTCACTGGCTGTGGGACCTCAGGCAAGGCCCATCACCTCTTGGGGCACTGCCCGCCTCACCTGGAAAAACAAGGATCAGAAGACTCACCCTGCCTGCCTTATGAGGTCTACCAGGATCCCAGCACTCCAAGCCAGGCCCAAGTTGTGAGCACCAGCTGGCACCCAGTGAGGGTTCTGACTGGAACTGGACCTGCGCATACTCAGTTTGACTCAGGGCAGAGCTTGGCAGGCAAGTCTCAGAAGCCTCTCTCCACTGCTCCGAGTTGTGGCTGCGGGTCACACTGCCCTGGGGACCAACCCACCAGCCACCCAGCACCTCTAGGGCTTTCTGGCAGAGGAAGCAGAGCAGCTCAGTGGCAAACACCTCACAACAGTGCATAGTTAAAAAATCAAGGAAGCAATACAATAATCCCAGGCACAGTACATCTGAGCCATAAATACATTATTTGAAGGATATATTTTTTTTCTTCAATTAAAAATGAGCATATAATCCTGATTCTATTCACGAGTAACAATTTCATCATCACATACTACGGACAAGAAATGTTAGGGTGAACACGGCTGCACGTCTACGAGGGAAGTCGGTCAGGGAGATAAGGGACGTGGGGGACTGACCCAGCACTGGGAGGCGCGCCCGGGGCCGCCCGCCGGAAGCGAGGACGCTACAGTGGCAGTGGGACGTCAACATCATGGAAACTCACAGACAGAAGCAGCTTTGTTCAATGTAAACATTGATTTGTTTTTTTTTTTAAAAGGACAGCAGTTTCAAGTCTCTCTCTCTCTCTCTCTCTCTCTCTCTCACGCGCTCGCGCTCTGGCCTTCTCGTATACTTAATTTCTTTGAAAACGTAAACATATTGGAAGGGCCTTGTCTGAGGTATTGAGGTATTCCTCGAAGGTTAAGGCTGTTATCAATGCAGGCTCTGCTGGGCCTCCTTCAGTAAGCTGTCAAAATCCATGGCTTCGTACTTGTTTTTCATGGACGCAGGGAGGGCCTCTTCTGAATTGGAATCTGGGCAGGGGGTGAAGGAGTCAAGGAGAGGGGAAGGCAGTGAGCAACTCAGAGAGGCCGGACGGTCAGAAGATCTGCCACCAGGGTCAGCCCCATGGAGCGTGTGTGGCCGACGCCTCAGACAGCACCAGACAGCAAGCATTAACCCCTGCCAGCCAACTGGGACCCCTCTGCCCGGTCATCAGTGTCTCGGGGCTGCCCTGTTTCCAGAACGTGGTGGCCCCAACTAGCACACCCCAGAGCTCCTCCCTGGCTCCGATATCCTATACATCTGTTTCCCTAAGAGCTTCCTGCCCACTAGGAGACCACTGCCCCAGTCACATAAGGTGGCCTACGAAGCTAGGACACCCTCATGGTGCAGAGATGGAACCAGGTCCCACGTGCGTGGACGGGCAGCCAGGCGCAGCACCGCCTGGCCAGGAGCCCTCTGCGTTTCCTCACCCTCAGCCCCATACTATGGAGGCTGTGTCAGATTCCCCTCTACAGGGCGTTCTCTCCTAAATAGTACGCGTCTGTCCTTCTTCACCAACTCGTCCCCCAATGGTGAGGGGTGGGGTGACGACATCATTTCGCTGTGGCCCGTGAACCAACAAGGCTGCCTGCTGCCTGTTGGGGCCACTGTGGAATGCCCCCGAAAAGCAGCAGGGCAGCCACAGGCCCCGGGAGGTCAGAGAGACAGTTAATCTGGTTCTGCCAGCCGGCTGTGAACATAAGACCAGACCTTCCAAGAGGCCACAGGGGCCTCAAATCGCTCTCTTGGTACCAGTCTTGAGACATGACAAGACAGACCAGAGACCAGAAGGAAAACAAGATGGCAGCCTCCAGCCCGCGAAGTTTTTACCCATCGGCACACTTTAGTGTGGGAGCTGGGTCCACAGGGGGCTTTAGGTGTTCCCGGAGTGTGGCAGGGCCTTGTGCACTTACCATAGTCAGTGTGTCTGGGTCGGCAGAAGTGCGGGAGGCCCCCGCAGCTCAGCTGGAAGGAGGGCTCATGGCGCTTCCGCAGGGCAGCACCCTTCCTCAGAGATAGGGCTGCGTGCTCAGAACACCGGTAGGTGATGAAGCCGTACTTCTCGCCTCTGTGGGGAGAGGTCGGGGGAGCACGTTACTGAGTCAGCTTGGTCGACACTCTCGGAGCACCCATGATGAGGTGCCGAGCAGAGACCCACACTGACTCAGTAACCGTGTCGCACGGTCCCCAAATACAGAGGACGGCAATCACAGCCCAGCAACAGTAAGAGCAGGTGATGCACAGACCGGGTGCCTCCACCTTCAGACCGCCCTGTGAGTGGCTCCTGGAGCGTTCTTCCCCTCAGGGATGAGGAAACTGGCTCCGTGTTCAGAATTTGCCCAAAGGTGAGTAGCAGGGTAGGGTACTCAAACTTGGGCCTCCCGCCAAGAAAGTTTATTTGCCTCATCTCTACCCCCACTCTGCCTTTCCTGCCTCCTTCGAAGCCAGCGCTGGCCACCACCTCCTTGGCCGCGAACATGGCCTCCCCCTCCCCTAATACAGCTGGTGTTAGTACACATCTCGTCCTCTGGGGTACACAACTCTGCCTGCTCAGCACCCACTCCCCTTCCTCTGACAAAGGCACCCTGTGCTCACAGAGACTCATCGGAGGATGACCCTGCTGCCCAAAGCAGAACTTCAAAGACTCTATGCCAACTCTTGGCTGGAACTGTGAGGGAGACCCCTCCTTTCCCTGGTAGGAGGGAGGTCAGCTTAGAGCTCCAGGCAGCCATTCTGCCACCAAAGGGCAGCCTGCACGAGGATGATGCTGAGGCGAGGGGGGCCTAAGGTCAGTTCTTCCCACAGCTGTTCAGCTCCACAAACAGCAAGAAAAAGCATCCTGGCTGCTAGTCCCTCTGCTGTGTATAATTCTCAGGACAGAGACTAGGCGGAGTCCCCCTACCACCCAGGACAGGCTCACCAACACTGGGCGCCTAAGAAACACTCGGCTGAATCACATTTCCGGACACCTCCTGAACCAGGCCAAAGTGGGACCCCTTCTGCCTCCTGAGACGTCCAGAACTGCTCGCTCTGTTTTTCATGCTCTTTGCATCTGATGCCCTGAGGACTGTGCAAAACTTCAAACAGTTGTATCTGTGCAGTGACTTTTTTTTTTTAATTGTGATAAAAACACCAAACATAAAATGTACCATCTTTAGATTCTACTTGTACAAGGACTTTCTTTTTTATTTTTAATTGTGATAAAAACACCACCTCTAGAACAAGCGGATCGTTCAGTATGTTAAGTACATTCACGCGGCTGAGAACGGATCTCTCCTCTCTCTGCTTGTCTTTTCCAGGACTGTGCCTGACTCCAGATACCTCATGTAATGGAATCATGCAACCCATGTCTTTCTGAGAAGACAGATTTCATGGAGCATAAGGAGGTTACGATTATCAAGGTTCATCCATGCTTGCAGCATGAGACAGGATTTCCTCCCTTTCTAAGGCTGAATAATACTCCATGGTAGGCAAAGACTACATTTTGTTTATCCGTTCCTGAGTCAACAGACACTTGCGGTGTTTCCACTTTTTGGTTATTGTGAATAAAGCTTCTATTCACATGGGCGTGCAAAGATCTCTTTGAGATCTTGCTTTAAAGTCTCTGAAGTATTTACCCAGCAGTGTGATAGCTGGGTCATACGGTAACTCTCCGTTTCATTTTTTCAGGCACCGCCACACCAGTCTGCATTCCTGCCAACGTGCACAAGGGTTCTGATTTCCGCCCACCCCTTGTCAACACCCGGAATGTTCCGTAGCGGCCTTAATGAATATGAAGTGTGTAATGATCCCTACACAGAAATTACTTTCTCATTGAAGCTTTCTAAAAATAGCGTTGTTAGAATTTAAAAACCTTAATCATCTATTTGGCAAATGCAATGGGAGATACTTCCGCATTATCTCAAAACTGACCAAGCTTTGACATCGAAGTTGTGCATTTACATGCAACCTGGTCTAGCAGAGCCCTTGGCAGATGACCACTGTGACCCCAGGGGAGTGAGGAAAAACCAAGATCCCCAGCAGAATAAAAGGTCTGAAACTCGCTGCTCCGGAGGAACGGAGGGATGTGAGCAGCAGGGAGGTTCCAGAACACGTGTGCTGTTAAGCCTCAGGGACTGCCTGCTGCCCTGTACCAGCCCCAGGGTAGAGAAGCTAAAGCAGATCCCTGGGCTGCGGATTCAGCTCTGCTACTCACTAACTAGCTGCTCACTTAACTTGTCTGAGCTCCCCAAGAGGGAGAACGATAGAGTGCCCAGGGCACAGGCTTGTCAGAAGGCTGAAGAAAACGCACAGGAATAGCCTGGCACTTAGCAAACCATGGGCTTGCTGCTGGACCGTGACCGGACCTTCTCAGGGGCCTGACTCTCCAGGTCCAGCCTGCGCCATCATCAGATTTTCATCCTATTTTCTCAGGCGTCTTCTGTTTGGCCAGCCCTGGACGGGGCCCTCTGCCCCTCCCCATCCCCTCCCTCCTCTCCTGCAACAGCTTGAGCCGACTCACCTCTTGCTTCTGGTCAGCACCTGGCACTCCACAATCTCACCAAACACTTCAAAGCGCCTCTTCAGCTCTCGGGAGCTCATGTCACTGGAGAGATTCCGAACATACACCACACGGCCTTCGCCCTGCTCGAGAAGAAAAACACAGAGAGGCCCAGTCACTATCTGGCATCCTGGGACCCCCTTGATGGTGGGCTCCCGTGGAGTCCTCGTCCTCAGCCCATAACACCTGGCCGAGCAGGTGACGGCAGCTGGGGCTGGAGTCAGAGGGAGGACGATGACAATCCTTATCCCAGAAGACCGGCCTTGTTGAAGGAGGGGCCGCTGAGTGTCGGGTGGGGAATGGCTCCCAAAGGAAGCAACGGCTCACTTGAAGGCAATGAGCAGAGAAGGGACAGAGACAAGAGAGGCGTTCAGGATCATTCACGGAACTGCCTACTTCCAGAGTTGTGGTCTGAGTCTGGGACTTTTTTTTGGCAGTGGGGGAGTCTGTGGTCTAAAGGCAAGTTGCCCAGATGGTAATGGGCAAGGATGGGGAACCAGGTCATTGTGGGGGTGAGGGTGGGCAGGGAGGGAAGGCCATGGGATGCAGGCCCTTGGGCTCAGGGCCACCACTGTCCTCGGCTTTGCCAGGACAGCGTGTAGACACTGGGACTAAGATCACTTCAGGTGAGCTAGGTGCCATGCTGTGGGCCCCTAGAACAGTCCGGCAGAGAGAGGGGTGGGGAGAAACCCAGACTGGAATGTCCCCTCCTCTCCTCTACAATCTGTGACTGGATCCCGTTCAAGCCACTGCTGGCAGAAGAGCTGCTCTGACCCACTAGGTCAGCTCCAGCGGCGCTCCCGGAAAGCTGTGCTCTGGTGGCTAAAACGGGCGGGTTCTGGTTTGGACAGGTTTCTCTGGGAAGAGGGTAAGGCCAGTGATTCTGGAGCCTTCCCATTCTCATCTCACAGAAGGCAGGGGGGAAAGCTAGGCCCAGGGGCCACGGGTGGGCTGCGCTGTCAGCTGCAGGGAACGGGTTCTGCTCCGTGAAGGAACGCCCTCCTCCACACCCAAGCTCCTGGCAGCTCCTTCCACCAACAAGGTTCTTTGCTCCCTCTGCCCCACGGTCCTAACACTGCCTCGGGGCTCCTTTCCTCCATCAACGTCTAGCCCCTTGCCGATGCCTTTCCCGGACAGCCCTATAAACACACCCTCCCCAACAGTCAAAACACGACTCTCTATTTCAGATGCTTTAGCCTGACATGATTAATTCCACCGTGCCTCTCCCCATCTCTGATTACAGTATTTATTCCTTGTTTATGAGTCTGTTGCCCTTCTCTCTGTTCTGCCCCAGCCACAGGAATGGGGACCACGTCCGTCTCGCTCATGCCAAGCACGTCACAACCGCCGAATGGTCACACACAGATTCCAGAAGATGCTCCAGGCATAGCCCGTGGTGGTCAGCGCCTGCTGGCAGACACCTGTGTGCCTCCGGGGTACGCGCACCTCAAGGAATCCCCCACCTCTGCCCCGAACGAAGCCCCTGTCCTGGGGCAAGGCCATCAAGTGCAAGTCTGTTTGTCTTTCTGTGCCCCGTCTTACTTCCCTCCCCTTCTTTCTAGTGTCATGGAGGGGCTGGTTCCAGCTCTCCTCTGCAGTTTCCTGGCACAGCCTGGGCCCGCAGACTAACTCTGGGGGAGGAAGAGGGAGGTCAGTAGGAAGCAGGGAGCGGGTTCTCCCGGTCCCTTAGCCCTGATCAAGCTGGGGAAGTCTTGGGAAGGACAAGGCCCAACTCCCTGTGTACTGATGAGTAAACTAGGGCTCAGGGAAGCTGGGAGACCTGCCCAAGGTCACATAGAAGGTGGTAGCAGGGCTGCTCTGTGGCCTGGTTGGCCCAGCTCTGCTCCCCCGCTCCCCCACCACAGCCTGCCCTCTTGGCCCTGTCAAGCTGCCGGTGCTCAGCCCTAAAATCACCCCCGACTGTGGTGGCCGCACTTTGCACAATGCCACCTCTGATGCCCTTTGGGGACCCTGGTGCTTTTTGAAGTCAGAGAAATGGAATTATCTCGTGCAGGCCACAGCCAGCCTCAAAGGGCTTCGGGTCTAGGAAGCCCCGGCCCATCCTGATGCCCCTGCTCTTCCCCATTCACTCCGGGCTCCGGGGCCCCAGATCACTTACAATGGCCTTTTCCCGCCGCTTCCTGGCGTGCCGGACGCTTGGCGTTCCGTCTGAACACGGCCCTCTGCTCTCACATCTGTCAGTGAACAAGCAAAGCAGAGGCACTCACTCTCAGGAGGGGCACGGCAGGGTGGGCGGGGGGCAGCTGCCCCAGGAAGCAAGGGACGCTTCTTTAGAACTCACTCACGAGGGCGCTGGCGGAAGCCCAGCTTCCCCGCCAGCAGCGACAGCCCAGGGCTGCATGTGGGTCTGCACAATCTGGCCCGCTTCTGGGACTGGATCCCTGAGAACTACCGTGACGCTCATCAGCACCCTACCCTTCGGGGCCCTGCCTTTTTATGCCATGAGGGGTGGAAGGGCCCTTTTGCTTCATTACTGCATTTGCTCTGATGGGGGAAAAGCAACCTATGAGGTCGTATGTTTCCCCGTTTTCCAAAGGCAAACCCTGAGGCTCAGGTTCAATATGGCATCTGCCTAAAGCTAGGACATGAGGGAGCCAGAGCTAGAAGGAGGGCTGCTGATCCTAGACGCCTGCTCTCTAGCACTTCGTGCCCAGCCAAGAGGCGATCCCGGCTGTCGCAGTCCCCACAGTCATGCTGGCCATTAGGTGAGTCAGCCCGCACAGTCCCAGGATACTCCTGGATGCCACACGCCTGCGTCCTCTGGGCTGTCTGCACGCTGCCTCCTCCTCCAGGGAGCCAGCTGTCGGAGTGGAAGCAGCATGGCATGCGCAGCCGGAGGGGAGTCCCGGCTCTGCACATTCCGTCTGCATCTGTGGGAAATTGAGCACGCAGGATAAGCACATCATCCAGTCGGGCGGCCTGCGTTTGAATCCTGGCTCTACCGCCTCCCTGCTGGGTGACCTTGGGCTAGTTACTTACATGCCCTTTGCTGCAGTTCTAGGACAGTAAGACGGGGAGAACTGACTACACCGCCTCCTTGGCCATCTGTGAGGCACAAATCAGAAAACGCTGAGCTCAAGAGCTGCTCAGTAACTGCTGGCTTGCCTTTCTGTTGCACCTCTTAGAGCCTTAGCTCCCTCACCTACAAAATGGGGATAAGAAGCAGATGTGCCCTCCAAGTGCATCTGTGAAGCTAAACAGGGTCATGGAAGGGGCTGTGACTCACAATCTTCAGAGCGCTAGAAATAACAGAGGGTGCCTGAGTGGTTCTGTCGGGAAAGCGTCTGACTCTTGACTTTGGCTCAGGTCAGAATCTCAGGGTCATGAGACCTAGTAGGGCTCCACACTGGGCGTGGAGCCCGCTTGGGATTCTCTCTCTCCCTCTCCCTCTGCCCCAACCTCTCTCTCTCCAATTAAAAAAAAAAAAAAAAGTGCTATAAATAACAAATACCATCATCCGTTTGCAACAGACTGGCAGTTTCCCACCTGAAGAGCTGAGAGTGACCGGAAGGTACCGTGGGGTTTGTGTTATGAAACCAGCTCAAAACACTTCTGTGGACCAATGTTGAGTACTAGAAGCACAGGTTTAAAAAAATGTGGGTCTCAAGAAGATGGAGGATGACTAGTTTACCAGGTTTACCAGGCGCCAAGTTTTGTCAACTGAGCAAGACCAGAGTTAACCCATTAATTTTCTCTAGGGAGCAGAAAAAGCCAGCCCTGAACTTGGCCCAAAAGCCAGAGAAGGAAAAGGAGAAGCCATGGGAGTTTCTAGAGAGGCTCCCATCTCTCTGCAGATGAGTGCGTGAATGCAGGCCTTCCTCTGACAGCCTGAGCTGGTCAGGAGGGAGCAGAGGCCAGGAAGCTCCAGCTCCAGCCTTGGGGGGATGTGTTTCAAAAACAAGACAGCCTTAGCAGCTTCTGAGCTACTAAATGTTGCAGAGGAAACAGCCTAATGCAGATGCCAAGTCACTTAGCTCACAGTGATCCCTGGGGAAAGGAGAATGGAGCCGGAAAGAGGGCTCAGAGAGGTCTGACCAATCACCCTGGCTTATTACGTAGAGGGGCTTTTAGAGAAATCGAGAGGGGACTCATTTTGAGTTAACAGGTAGCTCAGGGAATCTTAACCTTAGTGTCTGGAGAATCTACAAACCCCCTAAAATTGAATGCCCAGTTAGAGGTCTACGTCTATTTTAAAGGGAAGATGCATAGTTGCTTGATTCAGATTTTCAAACAGATACAAGCTGCTGGGGTAGATATATAAAGCTGAGTTTCTCTAAGAAAGATATTTTTCTATTACCTGAATTCTGGGTCTCAGAGTATGGCACTCTGGGGACATCATCATCTCCTGGGAACTAGTCAGAAATGCAGATTCTCCCCCACCACCCCCAAACGTACAGAATCAGACCCTGGAAGGGTGGGGTCCAGCCCTCCGTCCACAGGGGAACAAGGACCAGGTGGCTGCTGCAGGGCTCGAGACCCAAGAGCACCATCTAGTGGTCATTCAGGTTCATCTCAGGCGGAGGGTTTCGGACCTGCACTGACCCTCCTCGGGGACTCCCTCCTCCGCTGAAGAATCAGGGCCTGCTGTGATCAGGGAGAGAAGCAACCTGTCTCCACCAACATATGCCAAACCTCCACTCTTTCTGCCTGGCTGCCTGCTGACTTTTGGACCAGATCCTTCTTTCGGACCAGTCCAGGGAGCCAAGATGTTATGAGCACACGGGCTCATGAGGCATCATCGCTGTGGGAAGGTAAGGCAGCTCCCAGGGGGACGGCACCGAAAAATGGGATGAAACCTTATCGCTGCTTTAAATCCAGGTTTTTTTTTTTTTAGAACACAAATTAGAATTCTGCAGGTCATCCTTTCACGTGTAAATGTCACACAGATATTACACTGGATTCGATTTACAAATGTTAAAAGCAGAAAACACAGATGTGTAAGGGACAAGTTCATTTAGACATAAGGCTATGAGTGGCCAGAAGTGGGCTTTCTTTCTCTCCCAGGACCAGAAATCTGGGGGACTCCTGACCATCACGCAGCCAGCTTTGCCTGCTCCTGGGACTTGCCCATAACCCCCCAGGGAGACCACCCTCTGACCAGGACATGGGCCACACGGGGAGATAGCCACAGCTTCAGGGCTCCTCCCTTCTGAGGCACCCTGGGAACTAGGGTCCTCAGCTGCCCACTGTCCCCCTGAGGCCACCCATCCATACCTGAAGGTCCTTCGAGTGGCTGGTGACCGGGAGCGGCAGGAGGAGGAACCAGAGCTGGAACGGCTGCGGGAACAGAGCTGCCGACCGGCCTTGCTTGGTGGGCTCTGGTAGGGGCAGTGGTCAGATCGAGGGGGACTGACCCCCGAGTCCTCTTCATCATCGTCCTCCTCCTCCTCCTCCTCCTCCTCCTCCAAGAGGAAGCTGCTCTCACCACTGCTGCTGCTGCTGTCCTCAAAGACCGTGTCGTATTCGGGACTTTTACAGGAGGCCAGGTCTTCGTCCTCCAGGGCGGTCTCTAGGAGCCCAAAGTGTTTGGTGAGGCTGGCACGGATCTCGTGGTCTCTCAGTAGCACACTGTCCTTGGCGGGGGCACCGCTGTCACAGCTTCTGTCTTCCTCCCTGTCGGAGGCCTGCTCCTCAGCCCGTGGGGCACCCTGTTGGGGCCAGCCCTCAAGGTGGACCCCAGATGGCTCCCAGGACCTCAGCACCTTCCTCTGCAGGGTGCCTTCTGGCTTGAGCACCTGGCAGTAATCGTGGTCTCCAAAGGAACAGGAGAAGGGGCGCTTCTGACCTGTCTGGGAGGCTGGCTGGGCTGAAGCATGCCGCAGGTGGGACAGGAGCTCACTCCGTTCTGGGTGCTTCTTTGGCAGCTTGTGGGCAGCCGCCGTGGTGGCCCCAAGCTGGAGACTCTCCAGGCTGGGGAGGCTGGGAGCTCTGTCTTTGCCTGGGCTGTGTTTGATGTCTGGCTTGAAGGGGTCCTCCTCTGTGGGCTTATATGGAGGTGTGGTGGGTGGGGTGAGTCCTAGCCAAGCAAGAGGAGAACCCTGTGAGGTGGAGACAGATCACTTCTCCAATGGACAGAGACTCTAGTTTGGAAAGGCAAGTAAGCAGCACGGGCACCGCCACTTCCCCAACGGAATGAATGGCAGGCATCGCTAATCGATCGCTGCACTGCTGGCTGTGCCTGAGAGCGGCCGGGGACTTCTCACAGTCCACGGTCAATCTTGAGCAGGCATGTGATGAAATCCCCCTGCTGTCCCTCTGGAGCCTGACCATGGCAGACCAAACCTTGAGGTCATTTGAGGTATCATCCAATCCCTCAATAAGCCATCTCCACTGCCTCTGCCGTCTCCCAGAGTGGAAAGGAGGCAGGCACCACAGGTCAATTCTCCCACCTGGACAGGGCCACCACAGTGCCATCCGTGTTTCCTGTATCTAACCTTGGCCTCCATCCTCCCCAGTGCACCCAAGGGAACTTGATAAACGCTCAAGATCTCTTCCTTCTGGGTCTCCCGCAGCCTCCAGGATCAAGATCAAACCCTCAGCCTGGTATTCCTCTTGGCCTCTCAGATTGCTCCCTCCTGCCCACCCCCCTTTTGCTAAGCAGCAACTCCAGATGACCAGCCTCCTCAGGGGCACCTAGGATTTCACCCCATGTGCCTTTGCTCCTGCCACCAAGGATCTCCTTCCTGCCTCTTCGTCTCCCCAACTTCTGCTCCTCCCACAAGCCAGCTTGTAAGCCCCCGCTCTGGATGCCTTGCAGATCTTCCCCAGGGCCACACGTCTGCCCTGCCCCACCCCGCCCCTTCCTCCATGCTCCCAGAGTGTGGGATACTTACATACTTATTTATGAATGAGTGTGCCTGGAACAGAACCCGGCGTGGCCTGAGTCTGTCCCCTACAGAAGGTGGTGGGATCCTTTGGGGGAAGACATGGGTCTCTTCCTCTCCTAACCTTGCCCTCAGCTCATGTGCGGACCATTTGCAGCTAAACGGCTGACCTTCCCCCACTTACAACACCTCTCCTGTGTACCTTCAGACCCTCTACCACAGCAGGGAGCGCTCGATGGGGCCGCTCATGTAGGGGACTCGTCGCCAGGAGTTGTGTCAGTTCCCCCAAGGGCACTCTACCAGCCAAGCCCCTGGCTCACCTGCGGTGCCACAGAGCTCCACTGTCAAGGTCTGCTCAAAGCTCTTCCTGCCAAAAGGAGGGTCACTGGTGGAGGCAAGGAGGACAGAAAGGCAAGAGGCCAATCAGCAGCAGGCTCCACTTCCCCAGCATGCAAGGAGGGCAGGGGGACCCTGTGACACACCCTGGTTCTGCTGCCCACAGAGGTGGGTCCTGGGGAGAATTTTCTGGAAAAACCCCATGCTGACTTAGAGGAACTGAAAGCCACATCTAGCTCTCGCAGGAGACAGACACATGGTAAGCATCATCACCTTCCTTATTTTACAGACAAGCACCTGAGGCCCGCACAGGGGAGGAGACTTGCCCAAAGCCACACAGCATTATCAGCTTTCCCCTGCAAAGAAAAGAATTCCTTCCCCCTCCCCCATCCTGGAGAGGACAGCTGATGAAATGGCCTGAAACCTTAATTCCCCGCTTTCCCTGGATCTGCAGAGACCTTCCTTGTAAGGGAGCCCAGCTACGGAGAGCCCCACATGGCAAGAGGGCAGGGGCATAGGGACAGGGGCAGGCACAGAGGCTGATAAGCCACCCAACCCCCTCCACCCCCAATACACATACCCATCAGGACAAAAACTCATGGAATAATATACCAGTGATTTCCAAAAATCTACCTTTGTGACAAGGCCAGCATGAGGCACCTGGGAGAGTCTGAAAAGAAGATGAAAAAGAAAAAAATAAGATTCTCTGACATGGCATCACTAGCAGACGCTTCCCTCTGGAGGAAACCCTGAACTCCCACTGGTACCAAGCAGGGCTCCCTGCAGGCATGTGACCCAAAGGCCTCTGTCATTTTTCAGGGAAGGGCAGGACAACTCAATGCCACCTGTGTTCCCAGGGTCTCAGCAACATTAGCTGCGGGCAGGCTACTGGAGGGTTTGGAAAGAGCAGGTAGGTACGAGGGTGGCCCCTTCTGGCCAAACAGTGTAGTACAGCATGGGGGTGGACAGATGGACGTAGGACTTGCGAGCTGAACGGGTCGCTCGATACCTCTGCGCCTCAGTTTCTGGGTCTGACCATGGAGATTATGCCAGGCCCCCTGTGAGGAGTCAGTGGGGTTACGGTGTGTCAGGTTTTAGACCAGCACCCTGACATAGCCAATATACAACAGACACCCATTATAATCACCACCACTGCTCCCATTTAAAATTCAACGTCATTAGGGAGCTGCATTTACAGACTCACTCCTCTCATCACATCATCACGGAGGATGTCTCCTTTAGAGCACGTGGCACAATTTGTAATTCTCTCCCTTTTTTATTTACTCTGTGATTGCCTGTCTGCCCACTGACACAAAAGCCCCACAAAAGCAGGCATTCGCTCTGGGTCCACTAAAGTGGTGCCTGGCCCACGCGTGACGCAAAACTCAGAGATGGCTGGGTGATTTCTGAAGATCCACCCAACTAGCCCATTGCACAGGAAGGGAAGTCGAGAGCCGGAGAGTAGAAGGGACTTGCCCAGCACAGGGCTCCTGGCTCCCAGTGCAGTAGGGTATGCCATACCCCATCCCTGCCCCCTCTCTTGCAGACCACCAACTCCTACTACCTCTGGAAGGGAGCCGTGGGCAGCTGGGGTCCTCATCCGTGTCCCCACACCCACTCTCACAGGGGCTCTCCAGAGCCGGGATCTGGGGTCCCCGTGGGAGCTGCTGGTCTTGGCCACTGTCCTCGTCCGTGGGGCTGCCCAGTGCCCCCTCCATGTTGTAGGCCTCCGGAGCCAGGCGCAGTGACGGCAGAGCTCCTTGGGGCTCCACAGGGACCAGAGACTCATCGGAGAATGCCAGCCAGGGCCCCAGCTCCGGGTTCAGTCTCCTGGAGCGCCGCACGGGGCACACCACATTCTCCAGCTTCCTCCCCAGCTTGGTCCATGGCAGACCTCGGCCCGGTCTTTTCCGGCCCCATTCCTCCTCCTCCTCTTCCTCCTCCTCTTCCTCCTCCTCCTCGTCTTCCTCCTCCCGCCGCAGCCTGGCTGACCGGCTAGCGTGTCCTTTCACCGCAAGGCGCAAGGGGCGCAGGCTGGGTCTGGGCCCAGTGCTCCTGGGCGAAGCTGTGATCCTCACCTCCTCCACGGGGGACGGGTGGCCAGGGGAGGCCTGGCTGTCTTTGGGGGGCCTGGGCCTGGGGCGGGGCGTGAGGGAGGCATAGACAGGTGTGGCCAGGCGGTAAGGTTTGCTGACATCACAGAGGACATCTTGAGCCAGAAGTTCCCTCAGGATGGAGAATTCTGCCCAGGAGCCTTTGGAAGGGTGCTGGGACCGGGGCTGGGGCTTGGCCTGTGTGGAGGGGCTGCCGCAGGGCTGGGAGGCTGGCTCTGGGGCCTGGGGGGGCAGCTTCCTTTGGGGCAGGCAGTACGTATGCATGTAGTGAATGAGCTGCACCATGGCCTGCGTGTCGTCCCGGGAGCCCTGGGCGCCCGGGCCCGCTCCACCCAGTACTGAGGAGGCCTGGGGCGAGGCTGGAGCTGGCTGGGGGCTCGGGCAGTCCTCCCCAGCTTCCTCCTCCTCCTCCTTGGCAGGAAGCTGGGGACTCAGGGCGGGTGGGGGCCACACGCCCCTGTCTGGGGAGCGGGCTGCAGTCTGGGGGCAGGATGACACTGAAGTGAGGTGCTTATGCAGTTCGGTACAACTCCGGCTCTGAGACTGCATCGTGGGGGCCCTCTTGTCTTGGGTGCCGTCCACCTAGGGAGAGAGAGAGAGGGCCGAGTGAGGCGGGAGGCCCGCACCGCCCCCCTCCACTCTGCCCCACACCTGTAAGCCACTGGCCAGGGCTCGTCTGGCATGTGGCAGTGCTCGGTTGACAAGGAGCAAAGGAGCCAGCAGCCTCCTCACAGGCCTCCAGCCGTGGATCTCGCCCCTTCCCGCTTCACTGCCACAGCCCTGCTCTAACCACCCCGCTCTCCTGCATGATGCCCTTCAGTAATGGCACCGGGAACTACATCAGTGGTTGCCTGCGTGTGGGGACAGCGAAGGACTGTACACATGGCGGTGCTGGGGAGCTTTCTGGGATGGTGGCAAATGTTCTAAAGCTAAACTGTGGTTATGGCTGCACAACACTGTACATTTACTACAAATCATCCAATTAGACTTTCAAAATCAGTGCCTTTTCTGATATTTAAGTGACACCCCCATAGAACTGTTTAAAAAAAATCCTGATTCTTCCTTGAGGGCATGGGGTTGTGAGCAACAGTCCCCTGTAGGAGTGTCCAGGGACCCAAGGGGAAGGACCAAGTACAGGCTCTGAGTCACGGGCCTGCAGGGAAATCACCTCTGAAACCTCTTTGAAAGTCTTGGAAGATGGAGCCCATGGAGGAAAAGGGATTTGCTTCGCTCCTTGGTGTTCAGGACAGAGATGTGGACTCTCCTGTGGCTTCCCCCCAGAAGAAATCCAAACTCTTCATTGTGGTCTCCAGCGAGGACCTCAGGTTTCCGCGTGTCACCCATCAGAATAAACCCACTGAGAGCAGGCCACATCTTCCTGTCCCTGCTCTAACCCCATGTATAACATGATGCTTTGAACACTGAGGTGTAGCAGAAAGTCCAGTGCTCTTTCCAGAACCCCAAACTGGCCTCCAGAATTACCCAGCACACCAGCTACAAGGGCTATGTGAGACACAAGGAGGGCAACTGGAAGGTGACTGAACTTAATACCCACTAGTAAGAGCTGAAGGGTGCCCCCCTCAGAGGCCACCTGGGGGCCTGGTGGACTGGGGACATGTGCACAAATACCTTGACACAGGGCCGCTGGTTCCTGGACCTGAGGCCTGCCTGGCGCCAGGCGGTCCCTTCCTTCTGCGTGTCAGAGCTTGAAGTCGGGTGGGACGTGGCGAGGAGGAGTTTTTGCAGCTGCGAGAGAAGCAGAGAGGAGAGGAGCATGGGAGCTGCGCTCTGCTGGGAGCCACAGAGATGCGCATCTCGGAGAGAAGCCGGAGACCACAGCTAGCTTCTTGGGACGGAGCATGCTCCGAGCCCACGTCCTCACAGGACCACAGGAAGAACACAAGGAGGGCATTTCACTACCTAGAATATGTTCCCATTACGTGAAGCTCAGAAAAGCAGACTGTCTAACAATCTAAGACACACACAGGCATCCCCATAAAAGGTAAATCCTTTTTGGAGTTATCAACCCAAGAGGAGTACCTGTGACTTGGAGAAATCCACACAGATCTCGGGGATCTCCTGTTAAAACCTGACACGAACACTTTATTGGGAAGCTCTGCATATACCTGCAGTACACACGTGTGTGCGCACACATACACATAATCTGGAAAGTCACACAATGGTTCTTTGGTATGGGATTCCAACTGCTCTTTTTGGTTATTCATACCACACCGTTAAAAGTTAATTTCTTAAATTAAAAAAGTAATACTTGTCCATGGTGAAAAAACACACACCACAAATACAAAGGGTAAATGATGAGCAGCAAGTTACCCTCCTGCCTGAGGTGTCCCTTGCTCCTTCCCTGAGGCAATGACTATGAACCACCTCTTGTGACCCAAGCCCGAGGTGGAATTCGAACACACAAGAACGTATGTACCTATCACCTCCGACACACCTGACTATTTTTACACAGGCGGAAACATACCCAAGCTTGTGCAGCTTATCTAATTTTTCTAGAAGAACTGCTGAGATGCTTACACTTCTGCACCCAGAGGGCAGTGGCACGGTGCACCCTGGTAAAAAGCAGGGAGCTCAGCGCCCCCTGGAAATTCCACCAGGGATCCCGTCCCCAGCAAGACTGAGGACAAGTCAGGAAGCATGCTGGGTTTTCACTACAGCACCAATCTCCCCCCACCACGCCTGGGTGGCTCAGTGGGTTAAAGCCTCTGCCTTCATCTCAGGTCATGATCCCAGGGTCCTGGGATCAAGCCCCACATCAGGCTCTCTGCTCGGCAGGGAGCCTGCTTCCTCCTCTCTCTGCCTGCCTCTCTGCCTACTTGTGATCTCTGTCTGTCAAATAAATAAAATATTTTTTAAAAAGGGGTGGGGATATGCCCCCCAGATCACCCAAGCAAGGAGCGTCAAAGGCTCAGACACCAGAGAAAAGGCCACTCCTCACTCCCTTAGGAGCTGAGGCTTCCCACCACCCCCACCTAGACCTCAAACCAACAGACAGCTCTGTGATTCTCTGACATGGACAGGGAAAGATCCCCAGGCTGGCAGGAAGGGACCTGGTTATGGTCCAGCTCAGCCCCATTCACTATGAGACACTGAATGAGTCCTTTCCCTCTCCAGGCCTTGGTTTCTCCGTGGGCATAATGGCAGCAAGAACACTAAATGACTGGTTATGAACCTTTTTTTGACTCAGGAGTTTCTCATGGGGTAAAACAGAAGCTGCTGACCTCAGAGAGACACACGGAGATGTAGAGGTCCATGATGGGTTGCAGTCAGTCCACCGGTGGACTCTCTGGGATTCATGACTCCCAATTAAGAACTGGGCATCTGGATCCCTTCTCAGGGCCTTTCTGAACTCTGTGGGTATGCTGGGAATCTAGATGGTGAGTCTGTTTCCTGTGCATCTAGCACAGCCCCTGACGTGTGCAGCAGACATTGGGGAAAGGCAGTCTGAGGCGTGGAAGAAATACCCTGTGGCCAGCAGGGGTCGCTCTCTGCCTCTCTGGGGTTTGATGCCTCTCCCAGAGTACCCACACAGAGAACTCCTCTTGGTAGTACTACCGCCGGCACTATTACTTATATAGTATTTGTTGAGCAACTTCTATGTGCCAGGCACTGTTCTAAATGCTCTCCGTGCATTTTCTGTACTCCTCCTAACAGCCTTTGAGATAAGCCCCATGATTAACCTCACCTTATGGACCAGGAAGCTGAGTCAGAGAGATGAAGGGTCTAAAGGACCCACAAGCACTAACTGGTGGGGCTGAGATTCAAACCCAGTCGGATTTCCGTCAGCAGAAGCCGCAACGTGGGACCAAACGTATTCTCTCGTGCCTAGCACACAGCAGGTGCTTACTAATTGTCTCATGACACTCCGAAGAACTTGCAGGCAGTGGAAAAGAAGGATAAGGATCCTGGACCAGAAGTCAGAACACCGACTTGCTATGTTGACCAGAGAAGAATCCCTCCCTGCTCTGGGCCTCAGTTTCCCCAGAGCTGCACTTGACAGTCACCAAAGGCCTTTCTGCTCAGAACTTTCCATGACCTGAGACCCCTCCCAGCTCAACAGGCTCTGATTTTCCAGCTGGGTCTTGCCAGCCCCCAGGAGCTGTAGCACCAGGGCGGGGAGGCCAAGATAGGTGAGTGAAGCTGGACTTCACACGCCCCATGACCTCTCAGCTTCCGGCTTCCGGAACCCTCGGCCAGAATTAGGGGCACTGCTTTCAGTAACTCTGGATTCCTTTAAGGATGTGATAAAAGCTGAGAGCTTCTCCCCTCAAAACGGCAATGCCCTGTGCACGTTCCCCTGTTCCACGTGTACTCACAGATGGCACTGAACTTCTGCTGGTGGGAGCAGCAACCAGTCTGAACTCTCTGGAGGGTAACCTGGAACTAGCTTTCTAAACGGAAACATCGAGTATCTGTAGGCCCAAGAATTCCACTGAGATGAGACAAAGGGTTGTGCCAGGGCACTGACCACAGCAGTGCAGCCGTGAGAGTTGTAACAACATAAATCCCCACCAACCAGGGACACGTTCAACAAGTTACGGTACGTCCTTACGGAAGAACATTATGCAGCTGACAAAAAGGACGGAGCAGAGCGACCTGGGCTCATCTGAGTGAGACACAGTTCACTGAGAAAAGGTGCACAGCAGTGTGTAATGCAGACTTCCTCTTGTAGTGTTAAAAAAAAAAAAAAAAAAGGTAGCAGAGGAAAGTCACAAAACAGATCAGTAACCATGGTTACCGCCAGGCAAGGAGAATGCAACTGCAGGATGGGTAAGGAGGTTTTGCTTTGAAGGATCCACATTTCCTGTTTGCATTTTTACTGCGTGTATACGCATAACCTTTAGGAAAAGGTTTACGTGTGACTCCGAGGGTTAACCACACAAGGAAGGTGAGTCCATGAAATCCCGAACGACCTACAGAGTACAGGGGGAGTTTCCGAGGTTAGCCCAGCTGTACCGGTGGGAAAGGTGAGGCCCGGAGAGGCCTTCCCGGCAGCCCTTCCAGGCTGCACACAGACAGCCCTGCAGGGGCTGGCGCCGTCTCCCCTGCACCCACGACCCCTACAACCTGACACCGCCACCATGTCTGCTAGAAACAAGTGCTCACCAGCGAGAGCTCGTCCACTTCAGGCGCGGGGGCCTGGGGCCTCTCCAGCGAGGGGCTGGGGCTGGGAGGTGCAGAGGAGGGGGTGGGCGAAGCCGAAGTGCGGGACGGCGCGTCTTCCCCGTCCAGAGCCGGGAAGGCAGCCAGACCCACGTCATCTTCAGGGATGTCGTCCAGGGTCCTGGTGAGTGCTGCCAGGAGGGCCTCATTCTCACTGTCGATGATCTGAAGTGAGGAGCGCACAGTGTGGAGCAGAGAGGGACACGGTTAGTCAGCACCCAGGGCTCGGCCGGCTTTGCGTCCCCTTAGTGGGAATCTGGTCTGCACAGGCAGCTGCCCCACCATTGCCAAGTCCTCTCCTGTCCCTCCCCCCACTCAGATCGCTCAGTATCATCGGGCCAGCAGATCCCTGAGAAATACGTTATCGACTCCCAGGAATCACAGAAGTTTGCACGCAGGGAGCAGGTGATCCTGGAAAGAGCCTCAGCCCGGGAGCCCCAATCCTGGCTCTGCTGTCATCAGTGTGGGCACAGGGCTGTCCACCTGAAAGACACCCGCTGTCCCCTTTACCACGGACAGTGGCTCCACACCACAGCCTCCTGTTCTAACTCCCGGGACCCAGCCCTGGGCCCCTGCAGCTCTCTGCCTCTGGGAACAGCATCCCACGGCAGCCTCCCAGCCCCGCTGATGCTGGGGCCCAGTCTGCAGGGTTGGCCATGACAGTGATAACCAGAGCAATAATAACACAGCCGCCGCTTCCCGGTGGGTTCCTCGGCCTTGCTCACCACTCAGGAGGGGTCACGAGCTTGGGCTCTGGGGCTGAGGTTGCATCTCAGATCCCACACTTATCAACCACAGGTTCTCGAGCAAGTGATTTAGTTTCTTCATCTGTCCCAGACAACAACAGTACCTATTTCTTAAGGTCATGGTTGAGGACCTAACTTCAGTTGAGCTAATAATGTATATCAAGATGCCTGGCAAATGGTGTCTGGTGTGTAATAAGCACCCCAGACCACTGTCCCCTTTACTCCTAGGATGACAGTAGTGGTGGCAGCAGCATTCCCTCCCTCCCTCCCCCCGCCCACACACACACTCGTACTGAATGGCTACTCTGCACCCGGCATGGTCGGGGCACTGGTCCTACTGCGCGCCCAGACAGGTGCAGCCCCTGCCCCCATGGAGCGTCCTTACCAGCGGAGAACAGACTCCAACAAGGGCATAAACAAGAGCATTTCAGAGAACGAAAGCCTAGGGAGAAAGGAAATGGAAGCTGCTACGGAGGGAACGCAGTGAAGATTCACAGGCTAGCTGGGCGGGGGTGGGGGGGAGACCCTCTATGATGGGAGTTCTCCAATCTCCATTTTGCAGTTGGGGAAACTGAGGCTCGTGGAGGCTGAACAAGGTGTCAAGGGTCGCAGAGCAAATCCAGGACAGAGGAGGACTCCCCCGAGCCCATGATGGCCCAGATGAGCCGAGACTTAAGCTTTTCCGATCTAAAATGACGAGGGTCAGCATGTACCCAGCCCGCCCACCCAGAGCCCGCGAGCCCCCGTGCCCAGAGGTCCCAGAGCGTGGCGATCGCACGGCTCCCAGGTGAGGCAGCGAGCCCCTCACTGAGCGAGCACTGCCCACTGGGTGTGTTCCAGCCAGAGGCGCATGTGGTCACACGAGGCATCCGCCGACACTCTTTCCCATCCCAGGTCAGGCTGTTTATCCTTTCTTCAGGAAGTGCGTCTGAAATTCGCAACTCCTGACAGCCTTCTGGCTGCACTCAGCCCGTTCCAGGCCTTACAACCGCAGCAGCAGCTGCGTAACTCGAAGGGGGGACATGGGGCGAAGAGAACAAACGCGTTTATCATTTTTGGAACAGAGCTAAAATAAAAGAAAGGTCAAAAGAAGGTTTTGGCTGGGCCTGACCCAGGCCCTGGGGAGTGTGGGGGGTGGGGGAGAGTCAGGACACACAAGGGCAGATCCGGGCCCGCAGACTCTGGCCCGAGAATGCGACGGGCTCATTTGACTGCTTCCCCCCAGTTCCCCGGCCGCCGCCACCACCACCCCCCTCAGGCCAGAGTCCCCACTATTCCCAGAGCAATCCGTCCAGCCTGACAGGCAGTGAAGTAAGACCTTGGAACCAGGGACCCGGTGATCACTCTGGGGCCTGACCACAGGGGGCTCTGCCACCATGGGGTGATTGCGAGCAAATCGTTTCTCTCTTCTAAGCCTTGTCGGTTTTTCTGTAAAATGGGAAAACGTGATCTCCCCTCCCCCCTACCACCGTCTGCTCAGGAAAGCCAGGTCTGGAAGCAGGGACAGAAGTGCTCCCCCAGAGGGTGCTCCCAAGCCTAGCTCAGCATCGGGGGCAGGTGGCTTCCAGGAAGATTTGCCGAAGAGAACAACAAACGCACCAAACAATGAATTCTGGTCACCAGGAGAGACTGAGATGAGCGTCTCAAAGGAGAGACTCTAGAGGGAAGTTCTTCAGAAATGATGTCACCAGCACTGGACGGAATGAGAGCTCCCTTTCTCCCAGGGACCACAGCCAATGGCCCAGAGATACTACGAATTATCACACACATCAGAACTGGATCCTTCAGGGATCATGTAATGGCCAGGACTGTTAAATGTGGCGGCTGCTGCCTCTCGCCCCCATATCACTCACCAACTGTGGCTCCTGTTCTTTCCACACTAGTGTCTTTCTGGGGTTTTTCTAAGAGAGGGAAGGGGAGGGGCAGAGGAGAGAGAAAACCTTAAGCAGGCTCCACGCCCAGCACAGAGCTGGACACGGGGCTCGATCCCATGACCCTGAGATGATGACCTGAGCCAAAAATCAAGAGTCGGACCCTCCACTGCCGGCATCACCCAGGTGCCCCCACACCAACATCTTTAACAGAGCCCTCTAGGCAGTCATTACCATTCCTCATTTTCTTACGAGGAAATCTATTTGCCATTTTTTTATGGCAAAAATGCCATAAAATGCCATTTTTTTATGGCGGGGGCGAGGGCAAGGTCCAGGAAACAGACTTGTCAAGGTCACACAGCAAGTCAGGGTGGGGGTAGGATTTACTGTGTGCCAGGCACTGTGCAAAAATGGATACAAAACAGCCAAGACCTCGGGAAGCACCCAACAGGCTGGGCCAAAATGAAACGAGTAACGGAAGACCTCCCCGCCTCCCCGGGCTGCTCTGGCTCAGGAACAGCCAGGTGGGCTGGAGGCCCTGACCCTGCTGGGAAGAAAGGCTGATCTGCCCACGGCGTCCGCGGACTCTGTCAGCACCCAGGACGATGGATCACAGGGCCCGTGCCACCCTCTCTCCTCTTCCCGGGGCCCACTGGCCAGGCTCTCCCCACTCCGCTTGGAAGCCGAGTGCAAATTAATGGGGAGTTAATCAGGGAAGCAAGGGATATTAATAGCCTCGGCACCACCCCAGCCTTCCTGAGTAGCTCTCAAGCCGGAGGAAAACGAGTCTTCAAGAAATCCCAGGGAAAATGTGTCACTTTGAAGGCCTAGGAGGGGCCTGAATTCCAGAGGGACATGGAATAGGATTTCTGCTATGCAAGCCAGAAGAACACTCAGAAATCCTCCCTGTCCAGGGGGTACAACCACGCTCCAGAAAAGCCAGGTAATCAGTTTTTCCTCCTTTTTTTCCAACAGTGGGCACAATCAGAGTCTAAAAGGACCTGATGACTCTCCCCTCCACGGATCAAGAAACACAGATCAAGAATCCACCACGTTCCTTCCTCATTCCCCACATGGGGAAACTGAGGCCCAACCCAGCGGCCCAACACCAACTGGCCCAAGACCACAGAGCAAACTGACAGAACAACCCAATGCCTGCTTCCTCCAAAAATACTTAGTGATGGTTGTGGTCTTGGCCAGAGGATTCTGGAAACACAGACACACGGAGGGCACCATCCCCGCCCCTGTGGGGCTGTTAACCGTGTTACGGTGGCTTGTCCTCCATGTTCCAAGTCTATTTCCACAGCAGTGGCACTGTCTGACTGGGGAAACATGGCTCTGACCCAGGCAGCATGGCCTCAGGATTCTCACTGGCCAAATGAGAAACCCAGGCTTGTGCCTGAGGGAGAAACCATGATGCAAGTTGAGGCTTGTGGAATGGGCCACATCTTGTCCTTGGCAGGTAATAAAGTAACCCCATCAATTCCTTCGTTCAACGCAAGTGATCAAGTCCTTACGACGTGTGAGGGCCCCAGAGATGAAGCCAATCCTATTTGTCCTCAAGGAACTCACCGTCTAAAGGACACAGAGATACAGGCACGCCCACGTGTGCGCACGCAGATGGGAGCCTAAGGAGAGGAACTCACCAACTGCTTAAGGGAGCGACAAGAGAGCTGGGCCTTTAAGGATTTAGTCACTTGATACCTATTTATTAAGGCCGGAGCAAGTGCCAGGCTTGCACTCCACAAGTGAAGAGCCCGGGGATATAAGAGTACCCAGTGCCATCGTGGTCCCCACAGTCATGGGGTTTATGACGTTATGTGCAGTGGGGGGCAGGCACCGATCCCATAATCCCACACATAGGGGTGCATCCATGGGTAACGGGCAGAACCGGCCTGGGCTAGGGAGAGCAGGTGGGGTGTGCAGACCGTGACAGGGGAGGGGCTGGGGGAGCAGAGGTCGGCCAGGATGCTGTCCATCTGTGAGGGGTCTGCCTTCCTCACTGGGCTGGGAGCCCCAGGGCCACACAGGCTCACTTGTGCCCAAGACCATTTCACACACATAGTGGGAATCTTGGCAGGGGCTTGCTGGTGGGTCTGGACAACCTGAGAAGTAGGGGCCTGTACAGTTCAGGTGGCGGTGGTCTCCATGGAGCCTTTAAACCTCTCACTCATCAGCTCTCCATGACCTGAAGGCATTTTCTGGAAGTTAGCCCCCTCTCAGGGAGAAAGCAGCACAGCGTAGGTCTCATCCCTATTGTTCAAATAAAGAATGCAGGTCCCTCGACATAGTCGGACCTGAAGCCCAGCCCTGCTGCTCTGCACAGGGCTGGCAGAGAGGTCGTACAGTACCAAGAGGTACAGCTTCCTCAGTTCGAGTCTTCACCGGATCCTTCCCGGCTGTGTGACCTGGCGCCAAGTTTCGTAACCTCTCTGAGTTTCACTTTCATCACCCGTAAAATGGTCATTAATAGTCCTTTCTTTATAGGTTAGAATAGACTTGGGAAATATCCAGACCCCTTATCACGGCCCACAAGACCCTGCGTACCATCTGGCCCCTGCCTAGCTTTCTGACTCTACCCTGGCATGTTCCTCTGCTACCCACCAGCTCTTCTGTTGCCCAACACAGCAAGCTTTCCTGCTCCCTGGCTCTGCCCTTGCTGCTTCCTCTGCCTGGAGAGCTCTGTCCTGCTCTCTGAGCTTCACAGAGCTACTCCGTCTCATCCTCAGAGAGGCCTCTCCTGACCACCCAGTCGTTAGAGCCCCTTCTCACACCTGGCACATTTCTTCTGTGTGCATGTCACAATGACCGTGGTCTCTGTGTTAGCGGAGCTAGGGTCAGTTTTCTCTCTAGACTGTAGACAGCACAGTGCCTGACACACGGAGGGAGCTTCCCTTTCTAGAAGGAGCACTACAATCCATCAGGACTGAGAGAACGCTCACAGCACACCAGCACAACACCTGACACGTGGCAATATGATCATACTGCCAGACGGGCAGGAGGAGCCTCCTCCCACCAGTCTTTATGGGGGAGCAGATTTCAAGGAAAGAATAATGAATCTGACTGCACCCATCACTCAACTTATTTCACCTACTACCCTCCCCAACACACCCACACCCGCAAATGCGCGTAGAGCCTGCTCTATTTTGAAGCAAATCCCAGACATCATAGTATTTCGTACTCGGGGACTTCTTAAAGGACGTGTTGCCCATCACGGGCCCCCGAGACTGGACGCAGAGTGTGCAAGGGGAAAGGCATGGATAGGCACAGCAGTTCTTGGCTCTGCCTCTTTTCAAAGAATCTCTAGGCCCCAACTGAAAAATGAAGACAGCTGTACCCACTCAAAGGGTTGTTAAGAGAATTCAATGGGTTAATAGACACAACAGGGACAGTCCTGCCACAGCGCAGTTGTTCTATCCAAGTGAGTCATCTCCATTATGGCGTCGCTGTGGTTATAAAGCCCTGGCTCAGGAGGGAGGCCAACTGGGTTTGCATCCAGCTCAGCTACTGACTAGGTAAATTGCCCTAGGCACGTGACTTAAGTTCCCCAAGCCTCAGTCTCCTCATCTATAAAATGGGCTCATCATCGTGCCTCCCTCACAGGGTAGGGATGAGAAGTCAGTGAGATAATACACAGAAGAGAGGTCTCGGGGTTTTGGGGGCTCCTTTCTGACTGCAGGGGCATAGAAGAGCAGCTCTTCCCAGCCCTCCCTGTGCAGAGGTGGTAACAGGCCTGGTGAGCAGGTGAGAACTGCCCCAGATCAACGGCAGATCCCAGATGAGAGGCAGGGTCCCAGGAGCTCTGGGGTGATGGGACTTCTTCGCAAGAGCAAATGCAGAAGAGGTGGTGCAGGGAGACCCTGGTGCAGGGAGACCCTTTCAGGAGCAGAGATAACTCTAGGCTCAGAGGACATACCTGGAAGAGCTCGGAGTCGTCAGGGCTGTACTGGCTGGGTTCAGTCTCCGAGTTCTCTGGGCACCACTGCAGCTCCCCGAAGCAGGTGGCTGAGTCAAAGTCGCTGGCATCCAGCTGGGAGAGGTCAAGCTCAGGAAAGTCAGCGCAGAGTTGCTCCTCCCCGGACCCCCCACCCTGAGGAGACAGGAAGGAAAGGAGGTGAGTCAGAGCTGGGCCTGGCTGGATCCAGGCATGGACCCTTCCTACTCATGGTGCTGCCAGCCTGGAACCCTGGCAGCTCTTAGGCTAAGGCCTGACTTTGCCACATGACCAAGAGATGACCCACCCTCTAGCAATGGTCGAATCTAGCAGGAATGAAGCCGGGCCCTGGCAATACAAATTCTGCCTGCTGTTCTCTCCCCTCCTCCTTCGCTCTCCTACACACCCCTCAAAGCCCTTTTCCCCCACAGCACCTCTTTCTTCTTACCAGAACTATTGTGTTGAAAACTTCATTAGAAGCTCTAAATAGATCCTCATTTACACTACTGTCCCCACCTGAAAGGGGATTTCTGGAACGCAGTATCAATAATGAAACAAAAACCAGCAATAAGGGGCGCCTGGGTGGCTCAGTGGGTTAAGCCGCTGCCTTCGGCTCAGGTCATGATCTCAGGGTACTGGGATTGAGCCCCGCATCGGGCTCTCTGCTCAGCAGGGAGCCTGCTTCTTCCTCCCTCTCTGCCTGCTTGTGATCTCTGTCAAATAAATGAATAAAATCTTTAAAAAAAAAAAAAAAAACAGCAATAAGAATGGCTGACTTTTTTTTTTTTTTTTTTTTTGACAGAGAGATCACAAGTAGGCAAAGAGGAAGAAGCAGGCTTCCCCACTGAGCAGAGAGCCCGATGCAGGGCTCGATCCCAGGACCCTGGGATCGTGACCTGAGCCGAAGGCAAAGGCTTTAACCCACTGAGCCACCCAGGTGTCTCGAATGGCTGATATTATTGAGGAATGACGATGTTCTGGAGAAACACTCATCCATGTTCTCCGGGACTTCATAGGACCAGGTGTAATGTCTAAAACGTGGAAGACCACCCATCCGAGGACAATAGGTAAATAAAACTATAGTCACCTGAAACACAGAATACCACGGTGCCTCTGAAAAGAACAAGGCAGCGGTATATATGCTCTCCAAGACACATTAAATGGAAATAAAAACTATACTATAGACTTGAACCAGTAGACTATGATGTCACATGTGTAAAAGAGAAAAATCAAACTACGCAACTCTTTGCCCACAGTAATACATATGCACATGTCCAGGAAAAGGTCTACAAGGCTCTATGCGCACCTGACCGTGGTGGGTGGGGTCGAAGGAGGCACGGAGACTGTGGCAACAGCACTGACCGAACCAGCGTTATCGCCAAGTGCTCCCGGGACAGGCAGGGTCAAGAACAGCAGGGACCGTGTTAGAAACAATGCAGATTCTCAGGCCAAAGCCCGGAACGACTCAGCAGAAGGCAATGGCTTTCTGACCCTGGTCTCCCAGGCTACCCTGCAGACTGAGAAACAGCCCGAGCTGGGAGGCTGACCCAGAAACGGCGGACCACAGGCCTTGGGGTCCGGCAGACCTGAATCCTAGTCCCCACTCGCCAGCTGGGAAACCTTGGGCAAAGCTCTTCTCCTCTCTGAAGCCCAGCAGCCTCATCCGTAGAATGACAATGCCCTCCCCAGGAGTTCAGACTGAATAAGGCGATGTTACAGCCTGGCTTGGAGGTGTTCAGTAAACGGTAGCTAACGAAACCAACAAGTCAGAACTAATACCGGTAAAAACAGCAGTGTTTCATGGTGGGCAGAGAGCGTGCAACGGCCTTAGAGAACAAGAAGAGGCCTGACACTTAAAAAAAATAGGTTTTGCACAGGCCTCTTCCTTAATTGTTCCCACTTACTAAGCCTCATAAATTATGAACAAATGTATATTATTAGCTCAACTTGACACAGGAAAAAGGCTTTTATGCGAATTTGGGTCAAATGTCTTAATTGGCGTTTTGCAAGAATCCTGTATCCACGGGCAGCACCACCGTCAGGTTCTCTCAAGTGGCTGGTCCCCTGCTCTCAGACTAGGGAGCAGGGTGCCCAGTGAGTCTCTGTCTCCGGGGACATCCCTGGGATCACTGTAGGCCCCATCCAACATACCCTACTACCACCGGTCACTACCACTCAGCCGCCCTGGCCCAGGGAACACCCGGGGGGCGGAGGGGGCGGTTTCCTCAGCTTCCTTCTCCTCTCTGTCCCTTCAGGCTGTGGGGATGCTGCAGTCCTGGCTGTTCTAGATGGTCTGTTTCCAGTCTTCGGCTATCGTGAACAGGTCTGCCATGTGTGTGTTCAAGTCTTTATGTTGACATATGTCTTCAGCTCCCTTAGGCAGAAACCTGCGAGTGGCATGGCTGGGTCATACAGTAAGTGTATGTGACTTTGTAAAAAGGAAAAAAATTGCTCTCCAGAACTGTTGTACCATGGTGCACGCTTTCCGGCTGTGCTGAGTGTGCCAACTGTCCCACACCCTCCCCAGCACCTGGGGTTGTCAGTCATCTTAATTTTAGCCAAGCGAGTGAGTGCATTCCAGCATTTATTAAATGCTACTATGAGCCAGGCACTGAGACAACGGAAGACCCTGTTTCTTCCCTCATGAGCTGACATCTTGGTAGGGAAGAAAACACACAAGTATTTCCTTGTAGGTTGTGTTCGTGCTCTGAAGGAAACAGGCCAGGTGCACTGAGGGAGTAGAACAGAGGGAAAGGAAGTCTGTGTTAGTGGGGGGGCAGGAAAGGCTTCCTGGAAGAGCTGGCGTCTGAGTTGAGACTTGGAGGAGTCAGGCAGTGGAAGACGTGGGGAGGAACGTTCCAGGCAGAGGGCCCAGCAAGGCGAAGACCCGAGCGTGGGCCAAGGCTAGAGCACTATGCACTGACCGCTGGTGGGGGAGGCTGCAGCTTGGGAGCGGGGGGGATGGGAGAAGATGCCTTCAGAGGGGCAGGTGGAGGCCGGATCAGGCAGAGATCGTAAGGGATTTGGGTTTTACTCCAAGTGTGATGGGGGTGGGGCCGGCGTCAAGCAGGCAGATGGGTTAGGCGGGTGCGGCACGCAGGAGAGGGGCAGGTGGCGGGACTGGGAGGCACCACCTGGCCACAGGGAGGGCCCGTGGAGTGGGAGGGAGGGCCAAAGCAGAGACCCAGGAGTTCTGGGCAGCCGGGGTCTCCCTAGTCAGCAAAGCCCCCAGCGATGAGCGCTCTGGGAAGCCCTTCCTACATCCCTGATCCCTCTCATCCCATCACTCAGAGAAGCCACATCTGTAGGACTTGCTTCCTGAGGCTCAGAAACGACTTTAAAATCGGAGTCCCAGAATCCCAAACTGGCCAGGAACCAGCAGCCATGAGTGGCTGTTCCGGAGAGTCACTGCAGACAATCTCGGCATCCAAGGCCCCTTCAAGAATCAGACAAGGGTGGGGCGCCTGGGTGGCTCAGTGGGTTAACCCTCTGCCTTCGGCTCAGGTCATGATCTCAGAGTCCTGGGATCGAGCCCCACATCGGGCTCTCTGCTCAGCAGGGGGCCTGCTTCCTCCTCTCTCTCTGCCTGTTTCTCTGCCTACTTGTAATCTGTCAAATAAATAAAATCTTAAAAAAAAAAAATCAGACAAGGGCTATGCATAGCTCTTATTACGCCCATAAAATAACCTCTGAGCAATGCCTGTGTGCGCAAGAAACTTACACTAACTTCCAGGCCTTCACAAAAGCAGCTTAGGAATCCCGGACCTGGCTGGTCTACCTTCTTCACTTGGCAGATGGGGAAACTGAGGCTAATGGATTTGCTCAGGGTCATTCAGGAGTGTCCTTCCCATCAGAACCATGCTGCCTCCTTTACAAAACACCCACAAAATGGCCATGACTACTGCACTTACTGATTATTCCCAGCTTCTCAACATACTCCAAGCGTACCAGGGACATAAAAATAAAGAAACCTCAGCTTCGCAACCTTGTCGATTAGGGCTGAGGCCACTCTCTGGCTGGAAACCATTAAGCACTGCGTTAATAGTGATTTCTCTGGCCTTCTCCATATTTAGAGAGGCTTTCTGAAGGGGTGCCTTGGGTGGCCCATTTCCCTTTGAAAGGTACTGACTTAAAGCCTTGCCGTTGGGTCCCAGCCCTCCGCTGGAGGCCCCCTAGCGGTACTGGAGGGCACAGCATGGCAATGAGAGCCACTGCCATCACCGAGCTTATTACCAAATGTCAGGGGCCGCCGCAATACGGGATTCTTAAAGTGACCCTTGCAGGGCCGGTGTCACTGTGCCCATGTCGCTCCTTGGGAAACTCTGGGACCTGGTCCCTTGTATGCGTCTGTCCAGGCTGCTTGTAACAAAGCACCACAGGGGCGCCTGGGTGGCTCAGCTGGTTAAGCAACTGCCTTCGGCTCAGGTCATGATCTTGGAGTCCCTGGATCGAGTCCCACATCGGGCTCCCAGCTACGCAGGGAGTCTGCCTCTCCCTCTGACCTTCTCCCATTTCATGCTCTCTCTCTTTTTCTCTCAAATAAATAAATAAAATCTTAAAAAAAAAATAAAAATAAAAAGCACCAGAGGCTGGGGGCCTAAACGACAGGAAGGTTTGATCCTCCGGGTCTGGAGGCTGGGAGGCTGAGCTCCAGGTGTTGGCAGGGGCGGCTTCTGCTAAGGCCACTACTATTGGCCTGTGGATGGCGTTCCCTGCATGTCTTCCCACTGGCTTGCCTCTGTGGGTGCCTGCCTCTGTGTCCACGTTTCCCCTTTGGATAAGGAGACCAGCCAGACTGGATCAGGGTCCATGCTAATGACCTCGCCTAACTTGATGATCTCTGTAAAGACCCTGTCTCCAAATCAGGTCACATTCCCAGGTGCTGGGGGTTAGAGCTCACAGGTATCTTCTTTTGGAAGACACAACTCAACCATGGCACCCAGAGTCCCAGAATGGTGAAGCTGAGATTCAAAGCCAAGTCTCTTTGCTTCCTGCCAAGTCTGTGCCATTGCCTGGCATCTGCTTCTGAAAATGGAAAGCAACATTCGAGACCATTTATTCTCGTTTACCGATGGGGAGGTGGGGGCTTTTGGACAAGGGCTGAGAAAGATCTAAATCCCACGGCAAGTTCACGGCTGCGCAGGGACAGGCCTGGG